TTCAGAACTGTACCCTGTCAGCCTTATTCTTTACTGGGAGATCTTTGGAGCAGGGTCCAGGAATGTTCTATGCTATTCTTGCTTCTGACCTCCTCATGACCTGCACCTGATGGCAAGACAACACAGGTGACAACACAGCTGGAATGCATATGCCACCCATAGCAGGTCTCTAGCACACTCCTGCCCAGCTCAGTGGGCATCAAGACCCTCTCTCCCACAAAACTTTTCTCCAGACTTGTATATAAATACAGATATCTTAAACACCTGCTTCGGAGGTTGGCCTCTGGTAGGGTGCTGGCCTGGCATAGTGGTCTGCATCCCCTATTGAGGGAGAGAGTTGCCCTGTTTATAGGAGGCCTGTTGTCAACAGGAGCCAGAAGACAGTCTACCACTGGGCTGCATGTGGGTGTGCCTGACAGTGAGGGTTCTTGTATCAGGTCCTAGAGGCACAGGGTGGAATTAGGTAGGGGTCATCTTCTTCCTCCTTAAACAGTGCTCAACCTTAGCACCTGAATCTCCATTTCATGTTTCAGCCTATTGGAAGCAACATACCTGGTCTGTTGATATTTTGTGGTGTAGAATTTCCTGCAGACTTAATCTTTTCCATTGTGGCATTTCAGGGAACACTTAGATGACTGGATTCAAAGGCTAGCTCAACAGACAGTGATGTCCACGATGTGAGGATGGTCAGCTTTGGGGGGTGAACAGAATTCTAGGTTCATCTGTATTTCCCTATCTAATCGGGCTAGTTGGGAACCTGAGAACCACACAAGTTGCACAACTTAGGTGGTGAGCTGTGCTTACTGAAGACAGCGGGAACGGGAACAGAGAACAAAGCCATTTTGGGTCTGATTGTGTGCTGGGCAAGTTGGGGGAAGGGTGCCCAATCTATACTTTGTCCACTCTCTGGTTTTAATTAACACCCCACTCTCACCAGCAGAGTTTGCCAATTAAAGGCCAATCTCTCTTGATTTCTTTGCTTTAAAAGGACATTTGGATTCACCCAGGCAGGCAATTAAATCCCCCTCTAGCCTCTCCCCTCCCTGAGCTCTGAACAAGCTGAGTCCCTATCTCCTCCCAGTATCCAGCATGGAGCCAGAGGAGGGAACTGACTTCAGGTGCTCATCTGCAGTTATGGGAATGCAAGGCTCATTTAGGGAACTCAGCTCTGGACTCCAAGTCAATCCCCTCATGGACAGTGCAAAGCACCATTTAGATTTTGCCTTTGCTGAGTGACTGACTAATAGTAACTCCAGGGTTTCTCCCTGGGAGTCACTTGGCTCCTCTTCCTCTCTCTCCCTCCTCCTCTAGCTCTTCCTCTTTGGTTCCCCTATCCTTCTCTTTCTTTTCTCTTTTCTCCTCCTCTTCTTCCCTTCCTTCCTTTCTCACACTTCTTGAAGGATCAGTCAAATACCTAACCCTCCTGCTTTCCAACTGCAGCCAGATCTCATAGGGGTGCTGAGCCTTCCTCTGAAGACTTACCCCACCCACAAAGAGCAAACCCTCAGTCTATAGGAAAGTTGCTTCTTTGTACGTTCTACTCTGCCACCTCAGCAAGTCCTCACCTGGCTAAAATACTTGCTGGGGCCTACTGGGGGACATTCCTTACTCATCCTTTCCCCCAGCCTAAACCTACTAGGAGCTCCCAGTTCATTTTTGATAACCTTGTTGCAGAACAATGTTGGGGTGGGGAGCACATTCTTAGTCCCAAGTGCAGGAGCTCTATCTGGATAAGACAACCTTGGGTCTTTAGATCAGATCTTTAGGGAGTGGGGAACGCGAGAAAAAAATGGCAAAGTCATTCCACGAGCATTACATTTTTAATGTCCTTAACAAGATCTCCTTTTAATCCTCAATTAGGAATGAGAAAAGGGCGAGCTGGAGCTGTCCCATTGCCTACCATCTTCAAGTCTCTTAACAGACAGTTTGTCATCATGGGGCCCCTTTGTTCCTGCTCTACCGTAGGAATAGATTTGCCAGGAATTGCCCTGGTGAGGTGCACACACCGCCATCTGTTTGTGAAAAACAGATATAAATTGTCAGACAGACAAAGCAATAGAAAAATTTAGTACAGCCCTAAAGGATGGTAATTAAAAATCCTATAACTTTGTTTCAAAAAATCACATGTAAAAGTTTTCTTTACCATTGAGCAATTAGCCTGGAATGGTGGTATGTTTTTTTTTTCTTTGTTGTTATTGTCATTATTTTTGTTGTAAATTCAGGAACTTTCTCTTTCAAGGCTGGTATGATTTCAAATGGAATCCTTTTCACATTTACCTAACCCCTTTTTACACAATACAAGATACTTTTCGAATTAGATTATTTCAACTTAAAATACACTTTCCTATTATCAGTCCACAAACAAAACACTTTTTAAGTCTCAGAACTTTTAAATCTATTCTCCCTGACATGCTAAAAAAATCATTAGTCCTGTCCTTTAAATTAAAAAAAAAAAA